GAGAACAGGAAGCATCCACAAATTCCAGAGAGAATAGAGTTAAGATTAGAGTTAACGTAAGTTAGGGGACAGTTTAATGTTAGTTGTGGTTTAGGGTAGGGTTGGGGTTAAGAGTAGGACTACAGTTTAGGATAATGTTTGGGTCAATTTTGGGTGAGCGTTCCTATTTCCGTGTCCTGTTTAGGGAGCCATATAAGTATTGTCACGATTTGTTTACCAAATAAGCCGAACGTAGTATTTTCCTGTTAAGTTCTGCAAATATTTCAATATCTGACTTGAAAAGTCTATTTGGCAAATACATGTTTTCGACAATTCATCCTTGGGCCTGTACGATTGCATTGCTAATGAAGATAGGAGAATTGGATAGGTTTTATAAATGTCTTATGATTAAAACTCTTCTTTTTCAAAACCCCTGCGTGGCGAGATCAGCATGTAGAGGTCACTGGACTGGAGGAGGGGACAATAGTGTAGGTTGTGAGTATTGGTCATGCGTCGAGTACGCGGGGTTGGGAACGATATGCGATCACCATCTGGCGTCGGCCACGGAAGAGGGAGTGTGCCTGTATGAGCATCTATGCTGAGAAAGGCCTTCAGTCCAATGAATTGCGTTTCCAGCTAATTCAAAACCATTTAGCTTTTGGGAACAAAATAGCGCTCACCGGAACGGGTTTTTGTTTTGCAGACGGTTCAGAGAGCTGGGCCGGCTCTCCTTTGTCTAAACGTCGACTGCCCCTATTGATCAGCGATTTGAATGCGTAGCTGAACTCATCGACCTCGTGCTGATCGATTTTTTCCCTCGTTCGCTCCATTGGCCATGGTATGGATGTGGGCGTAGTTTGACGGCCGCAAGTTGTGCGCTTCGCCACCACGGTGGAGAATGCTGGTAATCCTGCTTCCTCTTCCGATGGGTTCGTCGCGGGGACCTCTTCACTCGCATCTCTTAAGTTTTGTGTGATCTTGTTCTGACCTTTATTCGCGTAATGGCGCAGGACTTTGTGTGCTGCAGGAAGGTCTAGACGCCTGTTGACGGGGTTAACATCTGATAGACAGCGGCAATGGACGCTTTGACAAAGGAGAGTCGGTCCAGCCCTCTGAAACTTCAGCAAAAACAAAGAAAAAACGTTCCGGTGAGCACTAGCACGTTCTCAGATTTCTATCCCGGAAATCTCACCTTTGCCAACATTTAGCTTTTATCCAACTAGTCGGTGGTCGGCTGTATCGAAAGCCTAATTAAGACCGTCGTACACATCTCCGATAATGAACCATATCTTTGCCCAACTCTGTGCGCCGGACACTACGATCGAAGCCGATATGCAGCGGGGCCTGATTCCCTTATGCAACTCCGAAATCTCTAACAAAATACTGAGAACAAAAGTTATGAACCAACCGGTGCCAGTCGGTGTATAGCAAACTCGCTATCATTAACAGTGACCAACGTATCCGAACTGTGGACCACCTCTCCTACTTGGGAAACCGAAACCCAGGGTGTACCCATAAGGCCCCTTGGAATAGCAGTTTGATGTCTCTGAAGTCGTAGTCTCGTCCCTTTATTTTGTCAGTTAAGTAGCTGCTGCAGTCAACCTTCCATAGTTCAAGTCCTAATGGTGAG